CAATCACAAGGCAAACAGAAGATTGCAAACCAGCCCAAGCTTCCTCCATGTCTAAGCCAGACCAAGCTGGGTCAGAACTCTTTGTGTAGGAAAAGAAGGGTCACTTTAAGGGAGATTGCTCTGAGTGAAGCACCTTTTTACAGCATGATTGGACACAATCTTTCTTGCCACCTGACTACACTCTTGAGTATTCTAGGATGTGCCTTTTTCACTTCTACTATGCAGATTGATTCACGGATGTTCTGCGCAAACAAGGAATTGTTCATTTTTTACTACATGCTGTATTGTGTAAATAAATACAGGCAGAACATATTATGTACAAATAAATCCATGTGTAACATCTGTTTCTGAGGTTGACAATGAATATATCATCACCTTTCCTATCCCCTCTATATAATGATGAATTCAGTGACATGGGTATAATTTAAATAGTAGCAGAAAGGTTTGATCACAGTCCAGGATTTATTGCAAAAAACAATATTTCAATTAATTAAATGGGAGACTAGATTAACTGATTTCCATCTATCATTTTGCACCTTAAGCCTTGCATTAAAGCTTAATCACTTTGTAGGCAATTATCTATATAATTAGGCAGCTATCAAAATAATGTTGGGAAAACAGAGACACATGAAATTTTCTTAAGCTTTTATCTATTTGATACCTTGCATGAGTTCAAACAATCCACCTCTAAATTACCTGCGTCCTTTTATGCCACCCACCTCTGTGTTCAGAACTTATTTGAACTGACAGATCCCACTCCTGTTTTGTAAGTGGAATCGTAATTGAATCACCCAAGGTGCAATCATTCTCCCCAGTTACTAAACACGCTGCCTGTACGAGTACTATGGCTGATCAGGAGGAGAGATAAGACTGTGAAAATAATTAAATTCATCTCTGAAAATCCAGGCTGTTGCCAAGATATCCTCAAGCAGATCTGGTGTCAAACCATTAATTAGCTGTGAAGACAAAAGATCAGAGACACACCAAACTTTATTCTGTTTAATAAACAGAATATATAGAACAAAAGGGAAACCATTCCCAAACCTCCAATAAAACATAACAAAACCCAGGAACGAATACGTTGGTGACTTAAACACAATGCACAGAATTCAGCTTCACCCTCACCCCCAGCAGTTTTTAATCTGTTAGGATCATGAGGCCACAAGGTTATAGTGACCGTAGATGACAGAACTGACAAAATTTTCCTCTTGCAGTCCAAAGAGCTCATAGATCCCTAGGTTCCTTTGGATGCTTGTCTCTTTATCAGCTTCCCTAGTTTTCACCCCAACACCTTCTTTAACATGCATGCAATGCATCCTTCCTTATGAAGGTCTTCTTGTTCTATCAGTGCAGTATGACCCCCCATATCCACAGAGAGTAGTGAACGCCATATATTAAAAGGAGGTAGGACAAAAGCCACAAGGCCCGTCCTCTTGTATGTTCTATATAGGGCTGCAGTAAATCATGGATAAGCAAAACAATAGATACTGATCTCGCAGCTACAGGAGTCCTATTATAAGTTGGGATGCCAGGTTCAAATGGAGGTGGGAATCATCTACATTTTACATGGTAGCACTTCTCTCAGCAAAACATTCCATGTTTCTTGCATTCACATTTTATACAACGTAGCCTAGATGTTTCCATGCTCAGTCCATGTGAAATATGATCCTTCCTCTTCCATGACCCCAACTTGGCCATTCCCTTTAGAACATGAAAGGCCTCTTGCTCTTTCCAAGAGGAATGACTTTGCCTCTGTTATGAGACACTTTTCTTTCACTGTGTGGTGCTGCAGGGGGGTTTCTTCACTAGCAACAGAGCAGTGCTATACCTGTCCACTTAGAAACAAATATTTTTGAACTCAGTAAGAACTTCTAGGCAAAGCTTTGAAGTAGCTAATGTGATTAACAGCAACCAGTTAATAGGGAGGTGGTGGTGGTGAGAATGTAAGTAGCTACATTTCAAAAGTAATGTGAAGAGCAATAAGAAATTTGCGTTTAAGTGTACAAATAATAAAATTCCTATTTATTTCAATGATTACCTTAAAGGGGAAATCCATTGTGTTTTTGACACATTTTGATTGGACTTTTTCATCAATCCTAAAAGGCAAGGGAAAGGACAGGTTGCTTACTTGTAACTGTAGTTCTTTGAGCAGTTATTGTGAATTCACACATGAAGAGCAATAAGAAATTTGCGTTTAAGTGTACAAATAATAAAATTCCTATTTATTTCAATGATTACCTTAAAGGGGAAATCCATTGTGTTTTTGACACATTTTGATTGGACTTTTTCATCAATCCTAAAAGGCAAGGGAAAGGACAGGTTGCTTACCTGTAACTGTAGTTCTTTGAGCGGTTATTGTGAATTCACACCTGTGGGTTCTTTCTGCATCTGCACAAAAGTCCTATGGAACATTCCAGAGCTCCAAAGTCCATTAGATCAACTTCCTGATTGCCACATCCACCTTGCAGGAATCCTCCACTGACCAAGAATAAGAAAGTGGTATGACAGACTGAGGGGAGGATGGGTGGGTTGAGTGACTTCACAGATCACCAATTGAAGACCTGCATTTACAGGCAATCAACCTGTCCCTTCATGGTCCCTGTGAATCACACCTGAAGTTAGCTGGCAAGCTCACTTACTGGCTGGTGGGATGTTATGACAGCACAGAAGGCTTACACTTTGATACTCGGAGGAATATTGTCATGACTGGAAATTATTATCTGGTATCATTCCGCAATTAACCTTTCAGGATAAATGCTAGCTGTGACAAATGCAGACTTCCAATTTTTCCCTAGAGAAAAACTGATAGTCTACAGAGTTCTCTTGGGTTATTAGTGACATGTTTAGGTGTCAGAATCTCTGACTTGAGAGGCATCTTTTGTCTTCAGACCGATGGGTATGAATTTGTTGTTCCTCATTCTCTGGACCATCCTGAGTCATTGGTTTCTACCTTGGTTTAGAACGGGACTACAAGTAAATGGTACTAGGTAAAATCCATGGAAGTTCTGAGTAAGAATGAAAATGCATTACCGTCTATGTTAACACAATATGTTGTTGTTTAGACATTAAGTCGTGTCCGATTCTTCATGACCCCATGGACCAAAGCATGCCAGGCCCTCCTGTCTTCCACTGCCTCCTGGAGTTGGGTCAAATTCCTGTTGGTAGCTTCGATGACACTGTCCAACCATCTCATCTTCTGCCGTCCCCTTCTCCTCTTCCCTTCACACTTTCCTAACATCAGGGGCTTTTCCAGGGAGTCTTCTCTTCTCATGAGATGGCCAAAGTATTGGAGCCTCAGCTTCAGGATCTGTCCTTCCAGTGAGCACTCAGGGTTGATTTCCTTCAGAACTGATCAATTTGATGCCTTGCAGTCCAGGGGATTCAAGAGTCTCCTCCAGCACCACAATTCAAAAGCATCAATTCTTTGGCGGTCAGCCTTTTGGCTAAGATCAAGTGTAGTAACACAATATGGGCTAGCTTAAATACAGTTTGTTAATGATGTATATTTTGCTGTTGGAGAAGGTGAGCACCTGGCCTCTGAGAAAGAAAATAATAATGAAAACTTCTGTCAAAACGTCAATTGTTCTAAATGACATGTCTATCTGGGAGCAGGACGTGCTGCAGTAGGTAATTGTGTCAGAAACACTATTACCACACCCAGAGCTTGGTGGGTTAATGCAGGAATGAATCCTTCATTGAGTGTGATAAAGGATTAGAAATGATGTTTAAAGATTCTTCCCAATGAAAGTCAGAATATTCGAAAAGGCTCTTGTCAGTTGGGCAATAGCTTGGAGATTATTTATTAAAAGTAATGAATTTCAGTTACTTTTCAAGCCCTCTCTATTGGTTCCTATTATAGTTACAACTTTTAAAACAGAAAGAAAAAGTAACTATGTTGGTCCATGGCAACATGGTAACAGAGTTACCGTTTGTTTCTGTTTTAAAAGTTGTAACTATTAACAGGAACTAACAGCTTGGGGGGGGCTCAGAGAAACTGGAATCTCGTCACAGGTTTTCAAGAAAAGAGTTAGGATAAAAACAGTGACAACTAATCAAAAGCAGATATAGTAGCTGCAACGCTTGTTTCTGATAGCAGACCAAATGAAGAAAAGCACATCACCAAGGCTATTTTTCTCTGTACTTCACTGTTCCCTTTTTGGGACACTTTGGAACCATTACAGTTAATTTCAAACCAACATTACATTTTTTTCTATTTATTCCTCTAAATCAACAGAGCAAGTCAAAAGTTATAATTTAAAATAAAAATGTTTATAATATAGTTTTAAAAAAATATTTACAGGCATTTTAAGATTGATCAAAACCTTCTGGGAAGTATCTTACTAAAGATACCAATCTTGACATTTTCCATTTTTGCCATTTACAACAGCAGAAACAAATCACTTCATTACCACGAGACCAGATTCCCTTGAGGAATTTCATGTAGACAATACAGGCATTTCCTGATGTAGCCTTTTTGAGATATGATGTCATTTAAAACAACAAATTCCCTCTAAATTTAGGGAACTCAAAGTACTTTCTAAAATATCAACTAACATTCTGTTTTTCTTAAGTCTACAAGGAAGAAGCTATTGATTATGGACTTCAGATGCCATTCCTTACTTCCTCAAAACAATACTGCAAGGTAGGTTAGATGCAGCCATTTGGAGAACAAGTCTGTGGCACAAATTGCCAAACAATAAGAGCTGCCTTGCTTCCCTTTCCCTGCAAGACTGACCAAAATCCTGTTGTTTAGCATAGCAAATGGTACTAGAGAAGGCCATTGAATGAATTGGAATTTAGTAAATTAATTCCTCTATAACAGTGGTCCCCAACCTTTTTCGGTCCCTGGACCGGATGGGGAAGGCGGGGCACCTCCTGCGCTCGTGCGCATGAGCAAACAAGGGCTCTCTCTCTCTTTCTCTTTGAAAAACATGTATAGATGGATCTACCATGAGACAGAAAGATGCATAATCATTGTTTGCTCAATCACTGCAAGTAGCTACAGTTGAACAATAGTATTTAATGCATTCTCCAGTAATTTCTGAATCCCCCAGTTACAATCAGGTCTATCCACTGAAGAAGGGCTGCCTTTCAAAATAGGTTACATTGCTTTGAATAATTTGCTTACAGTTGAAAAAGGGCACGAGAATGACAATTTGGTAGTGAGAATAATCAATTTAACAGTTTAATAGAAGCTAGTCAGATAGTTTAAGCGACAGACATTTGATCTGGTAGTCTATTAAAGGAGATCTGCAAAATATATCACAAACCTTTTTTTTATTTAAAAAAATGTTCACCTCAGGATGAGATATTTTGAAATCAAACATGAAAATAGAGATATACATACAACTAGACTTCAGTATTTCACACAAATGATAATGGCCAGTAATGTGTTCAATCAGTATGTGTTGCAAAAAGAAAAAGAAATCCATCTTAAATAATTTCATCTTGGTCCCCATTTAATATCTTTTACACCATGGAAGTGTCTTTTCAAGGCATGACTGTCAGCCCATTCAGAATCTAAAAATGAATCATCATCATTTTCTTCTAATTTCTGGAAGAAAATAGCAAAAGACAGCGTTAAGAATGGCAGAAATACTCATCTATGCTATTTTTCACAACAGAAATATTATAGCAAGATTTTATACCTTGAGTTCCTCTTGTCTCTTGTGATAAAAAAGAATCATTTGTTTATGTTCTTCACTATTTATGATAGGTTCACGAGCTGGGGCTCCCTGTCCTTTCTGGGAAAACAGAAATAATTAACACACTTTATTATGTCATTATCCTAACAATGGAATAACATTATAAGAAGCAGGGCATCAAAATTCCCAGCATTCTGTCATGCTCTGATCCAAGGGTGCACAACCCTTATAGCCCCAAGGGTTGCATCTGACATGAACTGGGGACTCCAAATGCATGCATATGAACTGTGGCTGAAATCCTGTTGCTCAGCTCTGCACGCACAATACAAAGCTGTGGCAGAGTTGGAGAGAGGTGGGGCAGGGAAGAAGTGCTATTAACAAAGCTCTCCCACATTGCAACAGGTGAAATGTGGCTCACACAATTTATTGTGCAATCTTATTGCATAATGCTGGTTGCCTTGGTGTAATGCCTGCATGCTTCTGCTGGTGTAATTTTTTTGTTATGCCAGAATGTACTGGATTTCAGCCAGTGTGTGGGAGAAGAACAAACCTTAACCTTGCCCCATCCCAAAAATTCTGCTTAAGGTAGTTCAGATGGAACATGCTTTGAAGATGAAAGGGGTGATGGTAATGGTGAAGATAATCTCTAACTTCCTAGGTGTGCCATGGAAAAATGTTATTGCTGCTTCTACACCACCGTCAGCCAGTCAGGTGGGGGAGGGGAGCACATTCCAGGCTTTCAGGGGTACTTTTAGCTTCCGAGTTGTTCAAAGGTGAATTTTTTTAAAAAACATCTGTTAAACAGACTGGACCAATCTTCCTTTGAAATGAGTGGCACAGAGAACTGTATCTTGGAAGGGACAGTTCATACACTAATATGTGAATGGTCAAAGTTAATGGGAAAGGATCTCATAGGTCAGTGGTTCTTAACCTTTGTTACTCGGATGCTTTTGAACTGTAACTCCCAGAAACCCCAGTCAGGACAGCTGGTGGTGAAGTCTTCTGGGAGTTGCAGTCCAAAACTCCTCAGTAACCCAAGGTTACGAGCCAGTGTCATAGGTGAGTGTAACCTGTCTCTGTCTGATGAAAATCTTTGTGCCTGTGTAATACACAAGCCCTGCCTCTCCAAAAAACAGTACTCCACATGCTAAAAGACTAGGAGTTGTACTTACTTTTTGTATCTTGACAATAATTTTGGTTTTCTCATTTTTTCCCACATAATCAGAAAGCTGGTTTGTTCTTTTCAGCTCCTTTGCTGCCCACCACAGCTGTGCCTCTGGTTCCTCAATAACCTCAAGTGCACCCTATGAGAGATGAAGCCAATGTAGAGGGTTTCCAACAAGTACACCAGTCAGAGCTTTAATAAAGTTTCCTTTCAAGGAGTAACAAACAATTATCTGATAGGACTACATATTTCTGACTGCCAAATACTTCAATACATTCTAACAGAATGGCAGGAGAAACCCTGCTGTGCAGGAAGCTTGTTTGCTTCCTTTCAGCAGCAAAAGAGATGCACAATCCATATTCAGTGCCCTGCTGTACACACACTTCAGAAAGAGCCTGTGCATGTTCGAGTGTGTGGGAAGACTGTAGCCTCAGTTTTTTCTCTTTCAGAAGTATAGTGTGAGCTAAAACATTTAGCTTCAGTCATAACTTTACTACTGCTTGTGATATTAAACTTTCTTTATGAGATATGATGTAAGATGACAATTACAATACACTAAGAGTACTTGACTTCCACCAGGCTGGGAAGTTAATTCCAGTGAACTCATCAATGAAGTTATTCTGTATAAAGCAGCAGCAATTTATTCAATTCACACTTCAGCATTTTTTTTATCTTTTTTTGAAAACTGATCTTAAAAAATAAATATACTGATGTGACCTTATGAGCCCTGCCAGCCCTAGCTTGTTCAGCAGGGCATCCTTCCTCCATCTCTGATCCACAGAAGACAAGAGAGTTCAAAGAGGGTTTATTGAAATTATTCAAATAGGGTTTATTGAAATTATTCAAATAGGGTTTATTGAAACTAGGTGAGGCATAACAATCAACTGTCCTTAAACATACGAGTCCTCAGAACTAGTTAGGTTCACTAGCCGAATGTCCAGCTCAAAAGTCTTTAGCCTCCTGGTTCCCTTCCCCAGGAAGAATATGTTCTCCTCAGTTACCTTGGTTCTTTTCATTGGGGAGAATGACTGCCCATCCCTTCTTACTCTGACCCAGGGACTCCATACATACCAGAATGTACTTAAGAGTGAGGGTCGGTACATCTGCAATGAGGGCACATGCTTAAGGGTTCGCTCCCTAGAGATCCTTGAATCCCCTGATATGCCAGCCTCATTTCCTCCTTCTTGTTTCAGTGTTGGCACTATCACTGATTTGTCTCCACCAGCATCAGATTGGGTGGTCACCGGCTCCATGGGCTGAGTCTCCATCCTCCTCCCGTTTTCCAAGTGTCCAAAACTTTCTGTAGGATGGTCAGGGTGGAGGCCAAGGGTTATGGTGCTTCTCCCCCTCTCCTTTAGTGACCTGTAGGTGCCCCCAAACCCCGGTTCAAGGATCTTCCTTAAAGATGTAATCTGATTCCTCCAGGGACTCCTCCATTCAACAGGTCTCTGATAACTCTTTCCAAGTTTCTCCCCAGTCCCCTTCTTCAAGGTTCTCCTCCCACTCTCTCTGGAGTCCTGGACCACAACTCTCCAACCTCCACCATTTGGCAGCCTGCCTCCTGCCGGGTTTTCTCCCTCAAGGACTTTTCCTCTACCCTTGGCAAGGTGGTTTTTATATTCCCCCAGGTGCCAGGGGGAAAACATCCTCTCCCCCTGGGGTCTCTGCTACAGTCTCCATGGACAGAACTTCCATTTGGGCACACCGTCTCTCTTCTATTTGCCAGCCCTTCAGATCTTTTGGTGGGCTCCTGTGCTGGCTGGGTAGGTGCTTCAGGCCCTAGGATGAAGCACAACAGCCTGCTCTTGACACGGGTGCCCAGGCCACTGTCCTCTTCACAATCCTGTTGAGTTTCCACCATAGGAGACTGTGCTGCTTATGTAAACGCTGCTGTCCTACAAGTCAAGGGAACCGTTTCTGCAAAAAATTCACTGCTTGTGCATGATTAATACTTGCACAAGTAACATTATAGCGTACTACTATGTTGAAAGTTTTCTATAAGAAGGTGCTCAACAAAATATTGGTAACTATCTCAAAATGCACAAAACAGCAAAGTAAGGGGAATTCATAATTTTTAACAATGCTTATTAGTTCATACATTTTTTACAAATCTGAAATCAATAGGATCCAAACTGCAGAAACAGTCAATTTCTCTGAGTAGTGTAGAGGCAAGGGAAAAGACACTCTGATGCTAGCTGCCAACCAAAATTAATAATGCTGTTCGGAGACGCTCTCATTTCCTCTCCAAAGAATATCAGCATAAGGAGAAATTTTTACATTTTTGAATGAAAAATGTAGATAGTTGTATACACCACCCACAGCCTTGGTATGAAGCAGTACATGTGTGTGTGTTTAGTCGTTTAGTCGTGTCCGACTCTTCGTGACCCCATGGACCAGAGCACGCCAGGCCCTCCTGTCTTCTACTGCCCCCCGGAGTTGTGTCAGGTTCATGTTGGTTGCTTCACAGACACTGTCCAGCCATCTCATCCTCGGTCGTCCCCTTCTCCTCTTGCCATCACACTTTCCCAACATCAGGGTCTTTTCCAGGGAGTCTTTTCTTCTCATTAGATGGCCAAAGTACTGGAGCCTCAGCTTCAGGATCTGTCCTTCCAGTGAGCACTCAGGGTTGATTTCCTTTAGAACTGATAGGTTTGTTCTCCTTGCAGTCCAGGGGATTCTCAAGAGCCTCCTCCAGCACCACAATTCAAAGGCATCAATTGTCTCTGCTTTTCACGATGCTGTCCAGATTTGTCATCGCTTTCCTCCCAAGAAGAAGGCGTCTTTTAATTTCAGGGCTGCTGTCTCCATCTGCAGTGATCATGGAGCCCAGGAAGATAAAATTTGACACTGCCTCCATATCTTCCCCTTCTATTTCCCAGGAGGTGATGGGACCAGTGGCCATGATCTTAGTTTTTTTGATGTTGAGTTTCAGACCGTTTTTTGCACTTTCCTCTTTCACTCTCATTACAAGGTTCTTTAATTCCTCCTCACTTTCTGCCATCAGAGTGGTATCATCTGCATATCGGAGGTTGTTGATATTTCTTCCGGCAATCTTAATTCCGGCTTGGGTTTCTTCCAGTCCAGCCTTCCGCATGATGTATTCTGCATATAAGTTAAATAAGCTGGGGGACAATATACAGCCTTGCCGTACTCCTTTCCCAATTTTGAACCACTCAGTTGTTCCATGACCAGTTCTAACTGTTGCTTCCTGTCCCACATATAGGTTTCTCAGGAGATGGATAAGGTGGTCAGGCACTCCCATTTCTTTAAGAACTTGCCATAGTTTGCTGTGGTCCACACAGTCAAAGGCTTTTGCATAGTCAATGAAGCAGAAGTAGATATTTTTCTGGAACTCTCTGGCTTTCTCCATAATCCAGCGCAAGTTAGCAATTTGGTCTCGAGTTCCTCTGCCTCTTCGGAATCCAGCTTGTACTTCTGGGAGTTCTCGGTCCACATACTGCTGAAGCCTACCTTGTAGGATTTTGAGCATAACCTTGCTAGCGTGTGAAATGAGTGCAATTGTACGGTAGTTGGAGCATTCTTTGGCACTGCCTTTCTTTGGGATTGGGATGTAGACTGATCTTTTCCAATCCTCTGGCCACTGTTGAGTTTTCCAAACTTGCTGGCATATTGAATGTAGCACCTTAACAGCATCATCTTTCAAGATTTTAAATAGTTCAATTGGAATGCCATCACCTCCACTGGCCTTGTTGTTAGCCAGGCTTTCTAAGGCCCACTTGACTTCGCTCTCCAGGATGTCTGGCTCAAGGTCAGCAACTACATTGTCTGGGTTGTCCGGGATATCCACATCTTTCTGATATAATTCCTCTGTGTATTCTTGCCACCTCTTCTTGACGTCTTCTGCTTCTGTTAGGTCCTTCCCATTTTTGTCTTTTATCATGTTCATCTTTGCGCAAAATGTTCCTCTAATATGTCCAATTTTCCTGAACAGATCTCTGGTTTTTCCTTTTCTGTTATTTTCCTCTATTTCTTTGCATTGTTCATTTAAGAAGGCCCTCTTGTCTCTCCTTGCTATTCTTTGGAAGTCTGCATTCAATTTTCTGTAACTTTCCCTATCTCCCTTGCATTTTGCTTCCCTTCTCCTCTCTGCTATTTCTAAGGCCTCGTTGGACAGCCACTTTGCTTTCTTGCATTTCCTTTTCTTTGGGATGGTTTTCGTTGCTGCCTCCTGGACAATGTTACGAGCCTCTATCCAAAGTTCTTCAGGCACTCTGTCCACCAAATCTAGTTCCTTAAATCTGTTCTTTACTTCCACTGTGTATTCATAAGGGATTTGGTTTAGATTATACCTGAGTGGCCCAGTGGTTTTTCCTACTCTCTTCAGTCTAAGCTTGAATTTTGCTATGAGAAGCTGATGATCAGAACTGCAGTCAGCTCCAGGTCTTGTTTTTGCTGACTGTATAGAGCTTCTCCATCTTTGGCTGCAGAGAATATAATCAATCTGATTTCGATATTGCCCATCTGGTGATTTCCATGTATAGAGTCGCCTCTTGTGTTGTTGGAAAAGAGTGTTTGTGATGACCAGCTTATTCTCTTGACAAAACTCTATTAGCCTTTGTCCTGCTTCGTTCTGAACTCCAAGGCCAAACTTCCCTGTTGTTCCTTTTATCTCTTGGCTCCCTACTTTAGCATTCCATACTGAAGCAGTACATACTTTACTCTAAATAAACAAACAGGTGAATAACTCTGCAAAAGTCTTGGTCTTTCGATTCATGACTAGAAACTAGAAATAATGTAACCAAAGTAAATTATTACCTGAGTTCCTGATAGATCTTCTTTATCTTCAAATTCCATTCTAATTGGGTCATAGGGGGGAAGTCCCATGGGATAAACAATCATTACAGCTCCTCGGAGTTGGTCCAGGGCATCCTTGACCATGTTCATATTAACACACACATTGGCTTGAGCTTGTTTCTGCAATACAGATAGAAACCACTAAAATTAGCACGACACAGAAAAAAAATTAATTTTCTGTTTAGCACATAACTAAACTCAGCATGACATCTAAAACCAAATAAGAATGAATGCCTTGTTTACCCTGTTTCCCTGAAAATAAGACCTAACCTGAAAATAAGCGCTGGTGTGATTTTTTAGGATGCTCGTAATATGCCCTACCCCCAAAATAAACCCCAGTTAAGTGAAACCCCACCTTCCACCATCGTGCAGCAACTAGAAGAAGATTACATGGCGGTATTTGCATGAATGTAGATTGTTGTACATAAAAAAAAACATCCCCTGAAAGTAATCCCTAATGCGTTTTTTGGACCAAAAATTAATATAAGACCCTGTCTTATTTTTGGGGAAACACGGTAGTTTCCTCTCCCACCAACCAGCATTAGCGACTGGCATGTAAATGTTGCTTTATTACACACAGAGTACATAAAATTTGGCTGGTTAAAGCAGAAATTAAATCTCTCTTTACAAACTGTTTTTAAAAACTGAAGCACATGGATAATTCTCAGGTTTGTAGTCAGTGCAAAATGGGATGTGGGTCACTTTTTTAAGAAGGTTTTCCACAGCAATAAAACAACAAAGATTCCTCCCCATTTCAACACATGCTAACAGCTCAACCTACTGAAGACAGTCTGCTGATTATTATGGGAAAAAATGATAACAGTTACAGATTTACATTTTATATTTTAATAGGCTTCACAGTAAAAAAAAGAAAAAAAGAAAAAAAGAAAAAGAAATCTTGCACAAATATGAATAGGAAACTTGGGGAAGAGAGACTCCTAGAGGACGAGACTGATATTTCACCTTCTTCTACAGCTCAGGGGCCATTTTGACTGAGAAAAATGTTGGAAGGAAAAAAGTAAGATTGGACATCCTTTCTATACAAAGAAAGTGACAGCCCCCAAGGCTACATTTGATTGAATTCAGCAGTCTGAGATCATTTGTGTGACTTGTCATTTGGCCTTAAGAAACTGGAAAGAAATAATTATGATTTTCCTATTACTAATTTTGCTCCTCAAACAATCAGTTATTTCCAAGTTACAAGATGAGATCTAGCTAGAAATAAAACATATTCCAGAGCTATAGCATCTACAAACTGATTTTCTCTACACAGCTATTTAAGAGAAACATAAAATAAGCAGAGCAAATTGTCATAAGGAAGACCAAATAGTCTATGAATGTGCTGGATTTTAATGAAACTTCTACAGAACTGCTGGTTAGCTTAGTGGTTTAAGTATCTTTGTGGAACCAAAGGTTGAGAGTTCAATTCCCCACTATGCTTCCTTGACAGGAGCTGGATTCAATGAACCATAGGGTCCCTTCCAGCTCTACAGTTCTAAGGTGGTGATAATTAATCAACAAACTAACATCAAATAAGCCAATAAGAGGATATCCTAGGATCACCAACAATGTTACACTACAATTGTTTCCCCTCTGCTGAATATTGACAAAGAAAATCTTAAGATCATGCTTTCAGACACTTCCTTTGAAGTTTTTTTTCCTATAATATAGTGCTTACATTATAAATCAGATGCCTCCCATTTCTTATCAACAATATGAACATCTTACCTTAGATATTAGTGCCTTAGCTTCTTCTACTGTTGTTGTTAAAACCTGCTTCATTTTTTCATTCGGAGCTTAAAATAAAGAATTCACATTTAGTATCACAAGACAGAATAATATGCAGGCTTATTTAAGAATATAGCGATTTTAAATTTAAAAAGGTGGCATTAGAAATGCCTCTTACCAAAAAGCCAGGGCTCAAAAATCACATTCAGTAACAGATACATGGCAGCTACATTATCTCAAAGTAGCCAGCCATTGGCATGATATGATCAACACTATAGCAGATATCACAAATCAGAAATGACAGAGCTGTGGAGCTCTTTTACTGATGTTTCTGTTAGAAATTTTTATACTAATAATTCTTTCACTTGCCGCTGCAAGGCTGGAGATTGTATACACTGTTAGGCACACTTCACATTGTTATGTGACATAGTAGACTACAGTATAGCAACTAGCCCTCATGGAGAAACTGATGCACAGGTTCAACAGATTAAAAGGTTGGATAGATAGATACAGGAGGTATGGTTCCTCTTCATACAATACATGATTTTCAGTATCTCATGAGTTAGATCTGCAAATAACTACTTTCTCTTTGAAAATATATGTTCCGACCCATTTTGAAAGGAGCAAATTGTTCCTTTTCACAGTGGTTACTTTTCAAAGGGAATGAACTGAGGTCGTTCCATCTCTATTTTTTTGACCAAGGTTGTTACTAGCTTACTATTTGTCTATTAGTTGTCTGATACTTGAATTTCTTGTATGACTGTATATCACTGTTATGACTACATTGTATCTTATTTTACAACTGAAGTAAACAAATCTGATACAGTAAATGCAATTGAAACACAAATTGCATGGTACACCAATGGGCATTTCAGGTAACATTTTTGTGGGGAAAAGATACTTATTCAGCTAAATTTTGAAACTAGGTACTCTTCCCCATCAAGGATGAATTTCCCTAAGTTACATTTTCAATGCACTACTTCTTCATGCAAAATTCAGTGCCATTTTGATGACTTTTGTTTTCTCAATGACACAATCTCCTGCATGCATAAAAACTTAGCAATTTCCCCTTGTTTTGCAACCGCCAACAGCTTTCCCATGATGAAAGGGATCCCAAGGGAAATTTCAGACTCTTGGGGAGGAATGTCAAATTTGTTATTTCAAACAAACAAACGTGTCCTCAGTCTTACATGGCGTATGTTACACTACTGGATTACAGGCAACATGTTGCTGGCACCAACCAAGAGGTAGTAATTTTTTAATGTATTTTACAACCATACCACATACTTTTATTGCATTGCTTACTCTACTCATATGTTACATTCCACATATTTATCAGAAGAAAATAACACAATTTATAAATAGTGCAGACAAGTCTAGAACCATGGAGAGTGTCAGCAAGACTTGGCCTATACAACTAAGCTTTCTTACAAGGAAGTTTCAGCAGAATTTGATTCTTAAAACAAAGCTTTCTTACCCCATCTCCTCACTACAACTCCCCATACCCCCTCAAACATGCTTATGATGGTTGTAGGATCTCTGGAATAACATGGAATATGGTTTGGGAGAGGAAAATTCTTAGAAGAGCATATTAAAGAACAAAAAATTATTTTCATATGCACAGGGCACCTGTGAATCCAAACCATAAATTCTGCAGCTTTTGCAAAACCAGTCAGTCTAAACTGGTGCTAGCTAGTTTACCCTCATACTGCTGCTCCATTTCAGGAATCTGATTTACATTTTGTTGCTGGCTGTACATTCTTTTACAGCACAAGGCCTGTGATATAATGCTCTTCCAAAACCCACTGTGAACAACAAAATGATTATGCCTTGCACCTCACTTCTGCCTTCTATCATAGATAGACAGACAGATAGATAGACGGACAGACAGATAAACAGACAGACAGACAGACAGATAGATACTGTGCTTTATTACAGTCAATGACCAATGTCCAAAGTACATATACATAAAATATACTAGATTCAATAGGCATAAACATATATACTGTACATATACCTAAAATCTTGCTATTACTATAACTAAAAGCTTGCTAAAAATTTACTGAGACCTTTCTTTCATCAATTTTAATTGCAGCAATGCAAAATTTTGCTACATTAAACAATGTACTTGATTTTGGTCCTGATAGGATGCCTATGGTTTGCCCTGACAACATGCCTGTGTTTTGCCCTGACAACAATAAAACAGTATAATACGCTTCTGATCATCCATGGTGTAACTTTATACAAGGTTTAATAAAAATTTCCTGAATTCCAAGTTAGAAGGAGCAATAACATGAGTTACTGTTTCTGTTCCACTAGAATTACAAGGGCATTTGTGTTGAGAGTGTGGCAGTTTTTAAAACTTCCCCTCTTGTACTGCTGATGACAAAGCATTTAGTTGGGCAAAGGTAAAAGCTCTATGCCGTTTTTGTATCAAAAGTAAATAGAAATAATTAGCTGGCTTGAAAGGCAACAATGCAGAATCAATTAATATATTGTTGGAGGTTGCACCTAAACCCTGCTGCCTCTAAACCTCAACAATACCTTTTCTAAGGACTCAGCTGCAGCCTATCCCATGTGAATAAGGCATTCTTCAGAGAAGCTGTATCTTTTAAGTCTGATAGACAGAGCTTTCTTTCAGTCTGACTAATAGTTATATAATAATATTGAAGAGGTTAGGCCTCTCGGGAAAAAGATTAATTTTAGCCAAAAACTGAAAATAGCTAGCCAAACCCTAGTTTCAACTTTCAGATATGCCATCTCCAGTCACAAAGATGCATTAGGAACCCAGTGGGACACTTGAAGAATAGCTCTCAAAATCATAGGTGGCAAATATTGTGCTGTTGATATGAGCTCATATGGGGTAAAATAAAACAAAAGGCATACTCCTAGAATGTGCTCATCTAACTGCCGAACAGTTTTCGTATATAATATTGTACAATTTACGTATGGAAACATATGGAAGCTTAAACTATGTTTATTTACCATGGCCATTTCGTCGTCCTATTTCATCTTTTTTAAAGACACTTCCACCGCTGGGAATACATCTTTCTGCCCATTCATCCTTCAGTTTCAGCTCTTCAATCTGCTCATCTGTCAAACCTTGCATGTTAGGTGGCAGGAAGATACCATGTTCTGCTAGTGTCTCTATCTCTTTAAAACAATTAGAGGAAGGAATAAGAGAATAAGTCTAATGCTTTTAAAGAGCCTATTCAGTACAGGTTTTCAGTAGTTTTTAGAGTTCTGTAAAACAGACACATAACCCATAAGTACTATCAGAACATCAGAACAGGATATAAGCACATTTTATATCAATACACACATATAATAGCATATTATAATACCATATCTGTATCTTACATAAAATAGGCAAACATAGTTAAAACGTTTCCATTATTAAGATTGTCACAATGAAAGACTACTAAAACATAATCTTTTAGTATACTGTACGTAATTCCTGCATGCCACCAGGCATACAAATTGTTACACTGCCATTACTAGACCAGAGTAGAAATGTAAAATTTCTGAAAATTTCCATTTCCCCCCATTTTTTTCTAGAAAAAAATGACAATTTTCAGAAATTGTACTTATCCAGAGAGATCTTAAAGACATAAAGTCCGAGAAGTTTCTCATTAGGTTCTTCATGTTACATAACTTGAATAACATCATAGACATGTTATTTATCATTGTAAAAGAACATATACCAAACTCAATATTTTTTTCAATTTTCCCAGAAAAGCAAAAACAAAAAACAGCTTTGAAAAAAAACAACAGAAAAATATTTCTCCTCAAATTTTCTTTATTTTTCTCCCAGGCCTCCCCTTCTCTAAACCAGAGAGGAAAAGGATTCACAGCCACAGGCTAAAACTGACAGGTAGAATCAAAACAACAAAAGTTGTCTCCAGCATTCCAAATCCTTACCAAAGATGCACAAGTGTGGTGTAGTGGCTCATGGCGGTGTGCTATTTCTTCCCTGGACCCCAACTACAAGAATACGCCAAGAATTCCTCAGGCAAATGTTTGAGGGTTCTGACCCACAGGCACACACCTATATTTCACCAAGCTGGAACAGGGCCTATCTCTACAAAAAAAGAGACTAGCTCAGTGCTTCCTGGGAGGCTTAAGTCTTTGTGGAAGCACTAGTTCTTTGAGGGTGCCCTCTATAAAGCTTAATGGGCAGCAAGACTACACCTCCCGCAAAAACCTAGGCCTCGAAGGAAGCACTGGGGCAGTTTCACTTCAGGTGTCAGATAGCCTGGAGGACAGGCTCTGTTCCATCTGAGTGAAAGCAGGTGTCTGTAGGCAGTAACTTGCAAAATTTGTCTCAGGAATTCTTGGAGAATGCTGGGAATTGGTCCGCATACACCCCCCAAAATGCTCAACATTGGTAGCTCATATGACTTAGCCTTAAGATGACTGAAAAAGTTATCACTTATTAGCATAAAAGGTGGTTGTTGTTTAGTCGTTGTGTCCGACTCTTCGTGACCCCATGGACCAGAGCACGCCAGGCCCTCCCACCTTTCACTGCCTCCTGGAGTTGGGTCAAATTCATGTTGGTAGCTTTGGTGACACTGTCCAACCATCTCATCCTCTGTCAACCCCTTCTCCTCTTGCCTTCACACTTTCCTAACACCAGGGGCTTTTCCAGGGAGTCTTCTTTTCTCATGAGATGACCAAAGTATTGGAGCTTCAGCTTCAGGATCTGTCCTTCCAGTGAGCACTCAGAGTCGATTTCCTTCAAAAAGAATAGGTTTGTTCTCTTTGCAGTCCAGGAGACTCTCAAAAGTCTCCTTCAGCACCACCTCTATGTCAAAGGATAATGTATTAAGGCAGAAATACTTAAATTTCTTCAAGAAGGGAATGGGGATGGAAAGGAACATTAATTTGGTAAATGGTGTGGTAGGAAAATGTCTCGACAAACATAGGTTTAAAGACAGAAGCTTCAGGGCCAATCTAACCATCACATCCAGAAGTATGTAGAGTGAAATGACTTCTCTATCTCTGAACTTTTATACTGTGCAATGTCAATGTAAAACAAGACCTACCTTATCCACGATTTTGTTACAAGATGAACAGATTGAACTGGCATGTGGGACTTAAATCTGGCTGGCTGATTAAGACCATGATACCTTAGTTCAGTTGTTTCCAGCCAGGTATATAGCCCTTCTTGAAGTTTATCTAAAAAGCTGGGAGTGGGGTTGCTGTGGTAATTTGGAGTACTTTCCCTTTTGAAGGATCCCAGTACAGACAGTGGCCAACACTGATTTTATGTGTTTGAGTCCAGTGATCTCCTAATGGTTCAACATCCAGCTAATTTACCAGATGATGCCCCGGATGAGCTCACTGAGGTGATCTTGGACTTGGTGTTGAGGATCTAAGATTTACAGTCCTTGGGGACTTCAATATCCTTGCTTTGTCTCCCTCGAGTGGTTTAGCTCAGAACTGTGCATGGACAGTATGTCCCCAGGCTTTGATGGACCCTACACATGAAAAAAAATGTATATCACCAGGCCTATTTTTCTACACTGGTCAGCTTTCTAGTGGGGGACTAAAAATTCAGCCTTTCCCATGGTCTAACCACTTCCTCACTGAGACCTGAGTGGACATAATTCTTCAAACCTGTAAAGGTGGGGACATTATTAGTATAGTCCATACCCATAAGATGACGGATCCTATGGGTTTCTCTGAAGCCTTGGATGATTTTAGAGTCATGGATGGGGATGCAATGAATGCTCTTGTAAGCTACTAAAATGAGGGGCTGAAAAAGGCTGATCAAATCTCAGTGCCTCTGACCAAGAGAAAGGAAGCCAGCTCCTCGATTTAATAATCTGTCCTCTGCAAGAAGTAGAGAGTAGTTGCAGAGGTCTATCAGCTCCCTGGGAATTGTCTTGTGGAGTCCCACAGGACTCACTTATAGCTCCAGTACTCTTCAACATATACATGAGATCACTGAGACCATCAGTGACTTGGGAGTTGGCTGCCATCCATATGTTGATGACACCCAACTATATCTTACTGTACCTAAGCAACCAGAGGCAGCTTTGACAGTACTTAGTCACTGCCTGGACACTGCTGTTTAGTGTCTGAAGATCAACAAACTGAAGCTGAATACAGATAAGATAAAGGTGATGCTGGTCACTTGGCAATTGGCAAATCCAGCTGTGACTTTTTAAATGATTGTTGGAAGAAAAAAAATCCCCTGCAAACCAGGTAAAGACTTTGGGTATCTTATTAGACCCAATACTCCTGTTAGAGAGATAGGAAGGAACCATGGCCAGGTCAGCATTTTATCATCTGTCCCTGGAAAAGAAACTGTCTCCTTACTTGGAGAAAGCCAATGTGGCCATGTTGATCTATGCAACTGTAACTGTGAGATTAAACTAATATAATTCACTCTAGGTGGGGCTACCCTTGATGACAACTCCAGGGTTGCAAATGGTACAACATGAAGCAGCTAAAGGTAGACTATTAAGAGGTTTTTCCCATAACGATCATGCAACACCTATTTTGTGCCAGCTGTATTGGTTGCCAGTGGTTTTTAGGTTCAATTCAAAGTGTTGGTTATTACCTTTACCCTAGGCTTGGGACCCGTATACTTACTGGATACCCCCACTCATACAAGCCACCATGCACATTAAGGTCCCTTGGAACTGCCCTTCTAAAGGTGCCAACTGCCACAGCATCCCAGATTGAGTGAATTTGAAAAAGATCCTTCCATTTTGTTACCCCATTCTCTGGAATTATCTTCCTGCAGGAATTCAGGAGGCAATGTAAGTTACAGTTGTTTCAGCAATTTCAGAGACTAGGAGTTGTTATTTCACTACTTATGTGACATACATTTTTCTATGTTAAATGTTTAGGTTACTGCTAGGTTTGATTGCATTTCATCATTTATACGGTGTATTTTATTGTTTTTGTACTGTGTGACATTCTGGATCTTTTTGGAGAGAAGACTGTCATATAAACTAAGTAATCAGTTAAATAAATACATAATGGCACCTGCACAAAGACGCTGAACTTTGAGCCTTCCATTGTAAATCTTGGTCACTTCTTGTGTTAAATCTTCAATGGAAATGTTGACCGTTGTCTCCAGCAGAAATTGGCTCTCATCACCGTGCTTCACATGGAGCAGAACCATTTCTGTGAAAACATACACACCAGGGCCAAATCATATATTAATCAGAAGCTTTAAAAAGTTAAACCTGGACACAAGATTCTCAGACCTTTTCAAAAAATGAACAATTTTTCATATAAAGAAAAAAAATATGACTTGAGGGTATGATAGTATTAACAACATGTTCCCATTTTGTATTTTACAGAACTGTTGCCTATGAACTGGAGGAATTAGTTTGTGATACATGTGCTTTGTGTGTGTATATAGGGTGGGGAGGCAGCTTATTTTCTGGCCATGTTAAAATGAAACCAGGATAAAGGCCTGAATATAGATTAATTTGCAGTAGCCACTTTTCATTTTCTGTAAGTGACCTTCATTCCTCCTAGCCCCTGCTTTGATACAATGGCAGACAAGGCAGAAAATCAGCAGTTCTAGTTCCCCCATTTAGCTGCAGTTTCCCCAGCTAAAATAACCAAACTCAGGCTATTGTACCTTAAACATGCCATGAGAAGACTTACTGGAAATGACAATAGTGCTAGAAAAATTGAAGGCAGTAGGAAAAGAGAATGACCTAAGAAGTAGGCTGACTGACTCAATAAAGGAAGCCAGGGCATTTGGTTTGCAATAAGTGATCAGGGCTGTTAATGACAGGGCCTTTTGGAAATCATACATTTTTAGCGCCAACGTTGAGGGGATTTAACCACCACAACGTCACCATTAATGCATACCTGTTGTGGAGAAAAGGGCAACTACATCAGTCAGACTTCCAACACAAAAAAGGTGTCACGAGGCACCGAAACCCCGCAATAAAAGAGACCTGAGAAAAACCTGAGGGAGAGGGAAGCCCTGCGATTCAAATACGTAGGTATCAGAAACCCTCTTCAGCCTTGTGCTGAAGAAGAAGCTGATTCGCACACCCCGCAGCTCCAACGGCTCCTTTCGTATCCATGGAAACCATGGACGCGGCGAAGGCAGCGCCCGGGAAGGCCCAGCCCCGCTTTCTCAGCGCCCAGGCCTCCCCAGAGACCCTACCGGGATCCGTGCGGAGGCCCAGGCCTCTAAAAGCTCGACCCGCAGGTGGTTCTTTCGGGCGCCCTGGGAAGTCGGCCCTCCTTTCTTCCCCACTCCCAGGATCCCGCAAGTCCCCCCGATGGGCCTCTCCAGAGCGCAGTCGCGCAACGACGTCCCTCTTCCCCCGGCAGGGAGTGGGCGGGGAAAAAAGGGCCGCCGGAAGCGGAAGAGCGGAAGTCCTTGAGGGCCCCGCGCGCTGAGGGGGGGGGCGCTCTTCGCTTGCCGGAGGCGAGCCGGGCTGTGATTGGGGCTGGCGACGGCTTGGCCGCGGCGAGCTTCTTCGAACAAGTGGGCGGGCCGCCCCTTCGCCCGTCACCAGACAAGGATCCTCAGGGGGGCGAGGATCTGCTCTGCCGAGATGGACGGACAGGACGGTGGCCGCGCGAAGTGCCCCCGTCCGGTTTCAGTGCAGAACCGCGACACTTGCCCTCCCCCACCCCCGCTCTAGGCGTTGGCAGAGTTGAAATCGGACGCCCGCCCTGCGCCCCAGCCTGCGCGGCGCACCGAGGGTCGTCGTTTTCCCGGTGCCCTGGAGTCGTCCAGGGTCGCTCTTCACATGCCACACATGGGGTTGGAGAACGACGCGGGCAGTCGGGATCCAGTCTGGATGTTGGGACTGCTGCGTCTCCTCGCCCTTTTGCAATGAACGATATTTTGCCTGTGCCAGGGAGACATTCCGTATTATATATTCTGCAGCGGAATAAATCAGCAAATTAAGAGAGGGGAGGGGAAATCCGAAGATGCTATTTCTGTGTTGTGTGGTGACCATGTGAAGTAATGACATTCAGAATGTCACATCGTTAAGAGCTCGGCTCGGCTCTTTCAGACGGAACAGTAGCTCGTGGTGTTCACTCTTCCAACTGCGCCCTCCCTTCGTTGCAACATTGTCCTTCCCAGAAAGTTCTGCTCAGCTTTTGCAAACTAACAGTGGTGGCTTTCTTCATTGAGACAATGTGTCTCATGTTAAGTCTTCCTTTCTTCTGACGCCTCCCCCTCCCTTCCCAGCTGTTATCTTTTCTCGTCAGTTATTATAGGTGGATGGTAGGATAGCCTCGATTTACTCATTTTTGTTCTAGTGAGATTTCTGCCTTTCTAGCTATGGTATCTATACGTCTCTCCCCCACATTTCAAATGAGCTGACTTTTGTCCCAGGCTTCCTTTCATATGGTATGGATGGTTTTGACCTTGGTTTCTAGTGACAGTCTTTCCTAACTCTGATCCCCCATTTTTTCTCAAAAGGCAAGATGGCATATATTTTGGAAAACATGCACATACTCCCAACGAACTTTTGATCCAATATAGTTTTTACCCCTCTGGTTGGCTAGCCAAAGGACAGGGTGTGGAAACTGAAACATAGCCTTTCTAGTCTGCATTCTGCAGAGTGGGCAGCATTAGTTTAGGTGTGAGATTAAAGAGTGTGTTCTCCATAACAGTCGTTCACAATGTTTTGGCACAGAGTGACTGCAGATTTTTTTCTGCTGGCGATGCAGGCATGATATTGAGGAACACTATCAGGCCATTTTCAGGTGTTTTGAATTGTGGATACAGAAGCACAACATCCCACATATAGAGGGGTGTTGTTTTTTTGAAGAATTTGAATGATACTCTCTGATCAGTCAGCTCCATTTTACTCATATTTGTCAACTGCACTGAACTCTCAAATGTGTCTAAAGGGCTGCAGTTAAAGAGAGACTGAACAGAATGTGAATGCCTGCTACAACAATAAATCCCCAACTCACCTCCTCTGCTTGCCTTGTGTTCCACAGATGTCTGTATAGCACTGAAAGTGCTAGAATTGTAATTCTCTGACAGCAAAATGGTTGTTTGGGGAGGGAACCAAGACCACAATCCAATTTGAGAGGGTTCTTGGGGGCCACAGCCCATCAGTAGTTGGGACTACTGGCACAAGGCTTGGGCAGATGTGCTTCTTAACAGTGTGGACATATTCCAACGAAGCATGCAGAATAGTGCTCCATTCTGTATATGGCAAATATAGGGAAAGTCTGTTCAGCTCCCCTGAACTGAATCTGATAGTTTTTCTTAGAACGCTGTATTTATAGTGTTGCACAAGGAGACAATTTTGAGAGTCTGGATAGCTGAGAATCTACAGCCACAAGAATACTGTATGCCAAAGCAATGATTAAAGAGTCATAGTCTGAAAGGTAGATATATTTTTTCTTTAATCTGACACCACATTTCACAAGATATGTACGCCATATTGTTGGCCACTGAGTTAATACTGTCATTTTGTAATGAATACAGTAAAATACTGTGTACCACAAGCAATAATTTGTTACACATTTACAAAGCAATTTGCCACAGGGAACACGCTCCATGAAAATATATAACCTTTTTTCCTCATAAGTTGCAGTTTTGACTCTCTACTAGTGATTACCTTTAGCAATACACCTTATGATGGTATTCATTTTACACTTGTAGGTGCATTTCTGCAAATTTTGCAGTATTCTGCTGTCAAACCTTATAATCAAATGAAGGTACTCAGGGCCTATATTTGACTATTACAGAAAAACTGTAATAAATGAAATGAATACGTTAACAAGAAACCATATATCACTGAACTGTCATTTGCACTAACTTTCCAGAACACAATTGCTTTGCTAACATTTACCAAAGCACAATCACATAGATGTTAATAATCAGAATTTTAACTAGTTAAGTTGTATACTGAAGCACAAAGTTTATTGTTCCACTACTGTTTCAAAATGTACAAGTAGTTTTAAATGCACAATATAGAAGTTACTGTATTTACTTCCCTATTTAGCGGCTGTTAATAGATGTGTACCATTTACATGGAATGATTTATTGTAATTACATGGGGATAGTATTAAAAGAATTTAGAAATGTAATTTTATTCTTCACTGCTCTGAGAAAAGCTGTGCTTCACTCAGATGCCATGGCGTAAACTTTTCTAATAGTTAATATAAGTGCAAACTGCAGTACAAACAGTCATATTTAGTGACAGCTTTCTAAAAAAAGGAGTTTTCATAAGTTTTAAAAAGCAAATAAGCAATATAAATAGTTGTGATAGTATGAAAAGACGGGGAGCTTACAGTTTGCCTAAACAAATTACTGCAAAAAAACACAAAAAAACAAACATGTTTCCTTCATGACACCGAAATACATTTAAACATCATTTGTTGCAAAAACAGTGGGGGCAGACCCATTTTCAAATATACAAAGGATGGTGCAAACAAAATGAGACAAAATTATAAACCATAAACCCCATAAACATCTTGTGTGGCATTAAGAACTTGCTTCTGTCTATGAGAAGTAGAAGAGTGATACAAGTTTCAATACAGAAAAGTGTCTATTCTGCTGAAATAAAATTTGAGACACAGCACTTCTATAGTGTGAGAGCATACAAACACAATTGAAATATATGGACCACATATCTAATTATTGTTTCATATCAGATCTTCATATCAAAATGACTGCAATGTTTTAATCAGTTATGAGATCCTGCTCCAAGTTAAAAAGCAAAGATTCATATATTTTTTCTGGTAAGCTAGAACAGGAAAGTTCTTCAATGTGAGTAGTGTCCAAAGGAAAATTTTAATGAAACTAAATACTATTTATTATTAAATTTCATATATGTGCAAGGCAACAATATATTTGTGGTGGAATGTAAAATATATTACTATATGCTGTTTACTTTTAAAATTGTATTTTACTCCTGTTTGGAATTTATTGAAATTTCATAAATCTCTGATATATAATTTCTTATCTCCAACATTATCCTTAAACAGTCAGTATTTCAAATAAACTTTGGCAGTTCTTTGGTCATATTTATAAATACATCAGTTATAATATACTGGAAGGTTCTACCAGCCAAGAGAGATTTTAAAGTATCATCTAAAATATAGAAATGTGTGTTATACAGAAGCAGTGATGTTTGTAGGTTGCACTGTAAAATTGATGTGAAAATACAGGCAATTTTTACCTGGGTCCTAAAAATGACAAAGGGATTTAAATATACCTAACTTTCCCTGCATTGTGCCCCATTAGAAGTGGCATAAGATCATTTCCAGAATTACCTTTGTGCGTTACCATATATACAGACATATCTTTAACATTTTGTACATAGTGATATTTAAGGTTCAGTGCATCTGACAAAATTATTGCACACACAATTACATCAATGCCCATGGTAATGGATACCCTTAAGATATATTTTAAAAGAATTTATCTTTCAGTAAAATCTTGTGTTGATAGAACCTTAGGTGCTTGTGAAATAAAGGGGTTTGTAGCTGATTTGGTGCTAGTGGATCTGGATGGTACAGGAGGTGCAGGTGGAGGTCTTGTTGGCAGTGAATGGAAAGAGTCAGAGCTTATTTTCTGAGCACTGAACATGGTACAATCTGAACTAAAGGTATTTTGATCAGAACTCAATAGACGTGGAAAATGTGTTGCCTTCAGGGAACTAGCTAATTTGGTGGGATTGTCCAGTGACTTTACCTTCAATGCAAAATCGTCTTCTTCAAATGTTACCCATCCTTTTGGTTTTCCATTGTTAGCTACAGAAGATGTAGTCTGCAAACTAATATCTTCAAATGTATTAAGAGAAAATGTGGCCCTGCCCATTTGATGACTAGGAGGCCTGAGAGTTGGATATGTGTAATTAGCAAGTCCTTCTGTTGAGCAATATGAAGTTACTCCAGATTCTTGGGTTTCTGTTCTAAATGGATTTCCAGAAATAATAGTTTTTTCAGTGAAGGGATTTGTGCTGTTTTGTCTGATAGTAAATATATTTGAAGAACTGTACTTATGTTCTTCAGCTTTATCATATGCCGGAATTGCTGGCATGCAATTTCTATTACTCAAAGTATTAAAACTGTCTATTGCAGAAGGCAACACAGCCATTTTCTTTTGGTTTAAAGATACAACCGGTGACATTTCAACTGATGACTGGATCTTGGATGTTGAAAGCAGCTGAAAGGACAGATCTTCAAAAGGATCATTGTTTAGATGTGTTTCATTCTGAATAGCATGAACTCCATTTGCTTTAATCTGAAAAGGAAGTACAATGCTCAAATATGTCACTTGGCTGTCAAAGGGCATTTTTGTCCATAATAGAAACAGTGGATTTAACTTCTGCTATTTAACTATTTGCTTTGCATTCTTAAAAAACCCCACAACTCCTGTTTTATTTCCTTTCTAAATGAAATAATTTTCACAATCTTCATTGCTCTACTACTAGCAGGATACACATCATGGATCTATTAAACATTTTAAGTATCTCCTATTATTTGATGTAACATAACGGTTACATCTTAAAATCTAACAAATTTATTACAATATGAACTTTTGTCATGTCTGCAGTCCCACACCCAGTCATGTGTACTGCATATATAAATGATGAAGTCAGTCACAGTCCACACCAGCTTATGCTATGGTAAATGTGGATGCTTTTAAGGTGCCATAGTTACTTTGCTGGTTTTTCTTTTGAAACAGCTACATCTTTGGAAACTGATGCAGCCAGTGGTTCCCACTTTTGGGTCCCCAAATGTTCTTGGACCACAACTCCAGCACAGCTAGTGAAGGCTTCTGGGAGTTTTATTCCAGGAACATCTGGGGATCAAAGGCTGGAAACCCTGAGAAAACAAAACGGCGTATAAAAGTTTCATAGAGGTAAAAAATAACATTTTAAAAAAATTAAACACAGTCACACTTTCACATGCAGAAAGGAGTGATGTTATGGAATATTTATCACAATGGAAGTGTTAGTAACATTCTATTTTTAAAACTTTAGGTTTACCTGTTTAAGTAGGTTTATGAAAAGAGTAATGTTGCAAAAGTGCATGCTTGATTGGTTTGTAATTTTTCCCACTGAAGTCCTAGGATGATTCTAGGCAAATATTGGTGATAGGAAGTCTAGTGTGCTAGACTTCCACACTAAGTACAAATGTTAGAAAGGGCTCTTTTTGTTTGACTGAATGTGTTTCCAGAGTTGCCAAGAACGAGAACATTGATGAGGCTAGGATCCCCATCACACGATCCCTGTAGCCAGTAGAACGTGCTTACAGAGTTCTTTCCTGACCTCCTCTACATCTTTGGGATGTCTGGGGGAAGGGTTTATGTGTGTACTCATGTCCTCACCACTCTATGCTGAAATGGGATCAGACAAATGCCTGAATGCCCTCAGTGATTTTCAATGAATTACAGCTCAGCTGAACAACTGCATGACATTAACTTGAGGGACAGGCAAGTTCAGGGTCATTTTTGTCTAGTCCAGAAGGCTTTCTTAAATAGGATCCTTTGCTACTGGCCCAGCTCCCCCTCCCAGTAGTGGGAAGAAGAGTACTGGAAATGATCTTGTATTAAGGAATACAGTAAGCTTACATTCTAATCTTCAGTGAATTTCCCAGGACTCCTGAGTAAAGACTTATATGCTTTTGTAACATAATTGGTATTTAAGATCAGATAAATGTATGTCAGATATTTCAGTGCCTAATTTTACATCCAGTGATGTACATTCAAATTTTAAATGTGACCATCAATTTTGTGTAAGATAGAAACAACCTGCTTTTAAAGCTGCAGATTAATGATGCATATCTACAAAATAAATGTAAAAGAAACAGTTTAGCAAATCTGTCAACTAGCTACGTTTGTACTTAAATTTAAAATCACCAAGATGAAGAATAACATCATCACTACTTTGTAAGTATAACTGAATATTTAAGCCAATGATCTCAGAAGCAGAGGACCTTTTATTCAGTGGTTGAAGACTAATTTATATTAAAACTAATTACTTTGAATGCAGGTTTTGCTAAAATGTCAACTTTTTCTTGAACTTGGGAGAAAAGTTTCAATGCAAATGAAAACCTATTTGATGCCAAAGTTATCTTCTCTCCTCCCCCCTCCTCCATCTTGTTTCTGCCATGTAAGTTCAAGGTAGCCATGCCAAGATTATTGTCAGTTTCATGAAGAATTATGACATTTTATAGCAATAGTTCTCAAAGTGTAAAAAGGCCCCATTGGTGAGGGACTAAATGAGATGTCCAACTCCTTTCTTCAAATTAACTATGCTGTGGAACCGTTTCATTCCACCCCTTCACCAGTGCAACTGTGGGAGGATAAATACCCCATTTCTTTTGCTAAGTGATAATACCAATGGCAGGAATTATAAGGCAATGTTAGGTAGACTTTTTGTTTCTCCAATTCTGACTGATGGCTCTGGTTCATAGTTTCAGAAAATGACTTACCTCTCCCCCCAAATCCATTTAGGAAGTTTTTATTTCCCTAAGGAGAGGCTTGGGTGATACTGTTTGAGAACTCTTGCTTTACTGGGCTACAGTACATCAAGTTAAATAAGTGTCTTGTGTCAATAAACAAGAAGGAAACTATGGCATGTATTTCTATTCTATGTAGGCAGGTGATTTCAATGAAAGTGCAGATGTATGAAACTGAACTGTTCATACATCGGTTCTGCTACAATGTATGGTGAACAAAGAATGGATGGAGATAGTGGTTAAGACCAATAAAGAGTCAGGTACCTTTTACCCTGATGGTTGATCCTGCTTGTGAGAAAGAGATAGACATCAAAGGGAAAGTATTAGGAAGAAAACCAAGTTTAAAAAAAAGTTCAAAACTGACTCGATACTATATTCATCTAATTATTTGAGTGCTACCTGTTACACTAATAACACATACATGCAGAAACAGATTGGCAGTCATAAAAAAGAAAACTTCATGCTGATCCTCAACCAAGAGCTGGTCATTGCTAGCAAGTTATACTCATTTATAGGTCTGGCTTTTAAAAATCTTTGTGTCTTCCTCAAAATATGGGAATACTTCTCAGTTAACATTTTCAACATGTAAAAAAAGCAATTTAACATCCATTTATCACTTCAAATTCAAAAGATAACCTGAAAACAAAACTTGCCTTACTATTGATTTCTCTCTCCATTGTTCAGTGGCAATATTGTGGTTTTCAGATTCCTACTCCCAGGGAGTAGGAATACTGGGAGTACCCAGATATTTGTTCACAGAATAATTTAATCCCTGCCATGGAATTACTACATAATACCAAAGCTCCCCAGACATTTTCTGAGATACAATCAATTTGCATTGGAAGCCAACTAAACCTGTGGAGATCACATAAAGAGGGTAATACTTGTCAGTACTATTGATATCAGTGCTATTTGTCTTATTGTGCCTAAGCAAATTCTTATATACAATTCAAAACCCAACAGAAATACATCAGCACTTCATGTGCCCCCTCCTCTTCCAGTGCAACATCCCTCACAGAACTTGGTGCTTACCCTGAGATCTCTTCAATGGCAAATAAAGACTTTTTAAAAAATCCTACTTTTTAATAATAATTATTTAAAAGATCAAAATCTTATATAGTTACATTAATTCAATATGAACAGTAACATTTTGAGGCAAATTTCCTCAAGTCCATAAATCACTTTAGACATCATCTGTTCCATACCAAGTGACCAACTCAGTGCGCAAAAGATCATGTCATGGTGATTTTTTAATGTGAGGCAATTTTCCTCTAAAAGTTACACTGTAAGCACTAAATTGATATAACTATATAAGACAATTATGGCCAACATCTGTTGAGTTCATTGCCATGATGTCATCTCCTGTTTTGCATTGTTTCATGCTATTGACATTTTACTACCTTGGACTAGATTTGTATCTTCTTTTGGTTTTAAATGTTCATTACAAATCAACTAGTTAAACTTGGTGATATATAAATATTGTAAATGAATAAAATACAAAAATAAAACAAGGTTTTGAATTATGCTTCTCTGTAATATCAAAGTCCCCATTAGTTGCAAACCAACTTATTTGGTTACAGCAAAAAACAGTATTAAGCTTTACTCAGTACTATTAAAATTGTACTTCACGGATTGCTGCCTTTATGGCGAAGGGGGTTGAATAATTCAGAGAAGCTATGGGCCATGCCGTGCAGGGACACCCAAAGTGGACAGGTCATAGTGGAGAGTTCTGACTAAATGCGATCCACCTGGAGCAGGAACTGGCAAACCACTCCAGTATCTTTGCCAAGAAAACCCCATGATCAGAAACAAAAGGCTAAAAGATATGATGCTGGAAGATAAGACCCTCAGGTTGGAAGTGTCCAACATGCTACTGAGGAAGAGTGGAGGTCAAGTACAAGTAGCTCCAGAGCTAATGAAGTGGTTGGGCCAAAGCCGAAAGGACGCTCAGCTGCAAACACGACTGGAAGTAAAAGGAAAGTCCGATGCTGCAAAGAAAAATACTGCATAGGAACCTGGAATGTAAGCTCTATGAACCTTGGTAAGCTGGATGCAGTCCAATAGGAGATGGCAAAAATAAACATGGACATCCTGAGCATCAGTGAACTAAAATGGATGGGAATGGGCAAATTTAATTCAGACAATTACTGTATCTACTATTGTGGGCAAGAAGCCTGTAGAAGAAATGGAGTAGCCCCCCTAGTCAACAAAAGAGTGGGAAAAGCTGTACTGGGATATAATCTCAAAAATGAAAGAATGATTTCAATACAAATTCAAGGCAGACCTTTCAACATCACAGTAATCCAAATTTATGCACCAACCACCAATGCTGAAGAGGCTGAAATTGACCAATTCTATGAAGACTTACAAAACCTTCTAGAACTGACACCAAAGAAAGATATTCCTCTCATTATAGGTAATAGAGTTTTGTCAAGAGAACAAGCTGGTCATCAAAAACACTCTTTTCCCACAACACAAGAGGTGACTCTACACATGGACATCACCAAATGGGCAATACTGAAATCAGATTGATTATATTCTCTGCAGCCAAAGATGGAGAAGCTCTATACAGTCAGCAAAAACAAGACCTGGAGCTGATTGGGGCTCTTGTCATCAACTTCTCATAGCAAAATTCAAGCTTAAACTGAAGAAAGTAGGAAAAATCACTGGGCTACTCAGGTATAATCTAAATCAAATCCCTTATGAATACACAGTAGAAGTGAAGAACAGATTTAAGGAACTCGATTTGGTGGACAGAGTGCCTGAAGAACTTTGGATGGAGGCCCATAACATTGTCCAGGAGGCAGCAACAAAAACCATCCCAAAGGAAAGGAAATGCAAGAAAGCAAAGTGGCTGTCCAACCAGGCCTTACAAATAGCAGAGAAGAGAAGGGAAACAAAATGCAAGGGAGATAGGGAAAGTTACAGAAAACTGAATGCAGACTTCCAAAGAATAGCAAGGAGAAACAAGAGGGCCTTCTTAAATGAACAGTGGAAAGAAATAGAGGAAAATAATAGAAAGGGAAAAACCAAAGATCTGTTCAAGAAGACTGGAGATATTAAAGGACCTTTTGTGCAAAGATGGACATGATAAAGGACAAAAATGGGAGGGACTTCGCAGAAGACATCAAGAAAAGGTGGCAAGAATACACAGAGGAATTATACCAGAAAGATCTGTATGTCCTGGACAACCCAGATAGTGTGGTTGCTGACTGCGAGCCAGACATCCTGGAGAGTGAGGTCAAGTGGGCCTTCGAAAGCTTGTCTAACAACAAGGCCAGTGGAGGTGATGGCATTCCAGTTGAACTATTTCAAATCTTTAAAGATGATGTTGTTAAGCTGCTACACTCAATATGCCAGCAAGTCTAGAAAACTCAGCAGTGGCTAGAGGATTAGAAAAGATCAGTCTACATCCCAATTCCAATGAAGGGCAGTGCCAAAGAATTCCCCAACTACCTTACAATTGCACTCATTTCACACACTAGCAAGGTTATGCTCAAAATCCTACAAGGTAGGCTTCAGCAGTATGTGGACCGAGAACTCCCAGAAGTACAAGCTAGATTTTGAAGGGGCAGAGGAACTAGAGACCAAATTGCTAACATGCGATGGATTATGGAGAAAGTCAGAGTGTTCCAGAAAAACATCTACTTCTGCTTCATGGACTACGCAAAAGCCTTTGACTGTGTGGACCACAGCAAACTATTGGACCACAGCAAATATTCTTTAAAGCAAGTCCTTAAAGAAATGGGAGTGCCTGATCACCTTATCTATCTCCTGAGAAGCCTATACGTGGGACAGGAAGCAATAGTTAGAACTGGATATGGAACAACTGATTGGTTAAAAATCGGGAAAGGAGTACGACAAGGCTGTTTATTGTCTCCCTGCTTATTTAACTTATATGCAGAATACATCATGCGAAAGGCTGGACTGGAGGAATCCCAAACCAGAATTAAGATTGCCAGAACAAAGATCAACAGCCTCTGATATGCAGATGATAGCACTGTGATGGCAGAAAGTGGCAAATAGAAGGGGAAGATATGGAGGTAGTGACAGATTTTACTTTCTTGGGCTCCGTGATCACTGCAAATGGTGACAGCAACCATGAAATTAAAAGACACCTGCTTCTTGGGAGGAAAGCGATGACAAACCTAGACAGCATCTTAAAAAGCAGAGACATCACCTTGTTGACAAAGGTTCACATAGTCAAAGCTATGGTTTTTCCAGCAGCGATGTATGGAAGTGAGAGCTGGACCATAAAGAAAGCAGACCACCAAAGAATTGATGTTTTTGAATTGTGGTGCTGGAAGAGACTCTTGAGAGTCCCCTGGACTGCAAAGAGACCAAACCTACCCATCCTGAAGGAAATCAACCCTGAGTGCTCACTGGAAGGACAGATCCTGAAGCTGAGGCTCCAATACTTTGGCTATCTCATGAGAAGACTCCCTGGAAAAGACGCTGATGTTGGGAAAGTGTGAAGGCAAGAGGAGAAGGGATATGACAGAGGACGAGATGATTGGACAGTGTCATCGAAGCTACCAACATGAATTTGACCCAGCTCTGGCAGGCAGTGGAAGAAAGGAGGGCCTGGTGTGCTTTTGTCCATGAAGTCACGAAGAATCGAACACGACTTAACGACTAAACAACAACAACAATTAAAATCATATTGTTACTGGGCCTGAGATATCATAAAATTACTTGTGAAACAGGCTGCAGCCCTGGGCACACTCCCCTATAACCCCACGGAGTACACAAGGACCTATTTCTAAGTAAACATGAATAGGTTTGTGTTGCAAGCTGAAATTTACTTATGAATAATTCCAAATAAGCTCCAATGAATTCAGTGGGGCTTAATTTAGAAATAAATATATATTATGTCAGATTCAAAATTGCACAGAGCAAGGTGTGACAGACTAACCAGTTATAAAATTACCCTTGCCCCAAACTCCAAAAAGTAGGCAAGGGAGGTACTTGTTACTATTTCTTCTACCTTACTTATTGTTTGCACTAAAAGAAAAATAGGTCGCCAATTAGGCATTTACACTACATTAAATTATAGCCTTATTTAAGAGGCATTATCTTCTTTATTTGTTATTTTAAAAGATCTCCTTTGTGTTTTCACTCCCATCCCTTCTCACAGCTCTGTAATGCAGATTTAAAAGTAAGTTAGTAATATGTGAGTAAGTCCATTAATTGAAATTGTGCACCAAAACATAATAATGAAGGGGCATTGCTTACATACTTGTTTCTCTGAAGGAACTGGTTCAGAAGGCAAACTTTGAGATGACTTGCTACGTGGGGGAGGCTGTGGTGCTGCTTCCAGATTTTGTGGAGAAGGTGTTTGAGATGGTGCCACAATAGGTTTAAGAGGTTCCTGCATTTTTAGGACAGAGGGCTGCTGAGATGTGGGATGAACAGGAGCTGCAGTCTGTGGTTTAAGTGGTTCAGGAAGCAGAGGTGATCCTAAAAATACATGTAATTTTCTATTTTATACAGCTAGATTGTCTCAGCCAGCATGAATACATTGATTTCTTGAATATACCCAGTGTCTAAATAATTGGATATTAACATGTAAGAAACATTAATAATATAAAAATATACACATGAAAAGATAAGAGTTCAGAAGGCTATATGCAAAGAGGTGCTTATACTTTTTTAGTAGCCGAAGATTATTAGGGGGAGGAAAAGAACACAATTCACAGATCTTATATGAAATGAGGAACACTGTTGGGTAGCCTAGTATAGGTTTAACCACTGAACTATAGTTACATTAACAGAACCTCACTACAACCAATAAAATTACCTCTTGGTGGCTCTGCCGGCTTAAGCTGGAGTTCAGGTGTGGGCCTTCCCACAGGAGGACGAACATGGCTTAATGGGGCACTAATGACTCCTGCTCGGGGAGGAATAGTCTGAAATACATTAAATGAAGAGGCATGTTTATGGCTGTACTTTAGGAGCTTTATTATCAATACAAAACATTCAGGTATGGTAACTTTGAAACAACAAACATTTATGTCCTTAAGTTATTGTGCAGTTTTCCAACTACAGTGGGGTCTCGACTTACGAACGCCTCGACATACGAACGTTTCGACTTACGAACCGCTCTCATAGGAATATATGGACTCGACTTACGAACTTAGATTCGAGTTACGAACTCTTTTTTTCCTTTTTTTAAAACTAAGTCATCTTAGGTTAAAAGGAAAAAAGAAAAAAAATATCCCCCTCTAGTGGCAGAAGGCGGAATAGCAGCTTCCCATTAGTTTCTATGGACGGAAAGAGCAGATACGGATTAAATGGTTTTCAATGCATTCTTATGAGAAATGCAGATTCGACTTAAGAACTTTTCGACCTGAGAACTGCCTTCCAATACGGATTAAGTTCGTAAGTCGAGACCCCACTGTATCAGCAATATCCTGAAAATCCTATATTTCTATTTAAATCATAAAAATTTGCAGATGGCAATTGTTAGAGGTTAAAGATGAATCTCAGATAGTGGTGCAGCAAGTAATTGAAATGAGAGATCTGAATAAAGTAGCAGAAATGGCTAAGACACAATTACAAAGAGTACAAAAGGGACGAAAAAGGAGATACGACTTAAAAGTGAATTCGAGACAATTCAGTATAGGACAAAAGGTCCTGCTATTACTACCAGTTGAGAATGCCAAACTTTTTGCAAGATGGAAAGAACTTCCTGATGTTCTGTGGCCAGCATCTTCAGAGGACTGGAGTAGGAACTCTGTCCATGCTCTGTCGCTGTTTGATGGATAGTTGAGTATTTATAGGGACGTGGTGGCGCTGCGGGCTAAACCGCAGAAGCCTGTGCTGCAGAGTCAGAAGACCAAGCAGTCGTAAGATCGAATCCACGTGACGGAGTGAGCTCCCGTTGCTTGTCCCAGCTCCCGCCAACCTAGCGGTTCAAAAGCATGCAAATGCGAGTAGATAAATAGGGACCACCTCGGTGGGAAGGTAACAGTGTTCCGTGTCTAAGTCGCACTGGCCATGTGACCACGGAAGATTGTCTTCGGACAAACGGTGGCTCTATGGCTTGGAAACGGGGATGAGCACTGCCCCCTAGAGTTGAACATGACTGGACCAAAAAAATTGTCAAGGGGAACCTTTTACGTTTGAGTATTTATAACTGTGGGAACAGCTTTTGTCTTTTCCAGGCGATAGGGTGATCAGCATGTTTTTTGTTGTGATAAGGAGAGGGAGATTGTCTGTTACTGTGATTGATGGGTGTCATTAGCTGGTCTTTTTTGTGCAATGATCCCTGGTCCTTGTGGCGGGGTAGAGTTCATTGACCTTTTACAGGCTGTATTTTTCAATATCGGGAGCCAGGCCGTGTTTAGTTTTAGGCCTTCTTTTTGTTGAAATTCTGTTGATTTTTATAGATTCCAATGGCTTCCCTGTGCAGTCTAACATAATGGTTGTTGGTGTTGTCCAGTACTTAAGTATTTTGAAATAGATTTTCATGTCCAGCTTGTTTTAGGGCATGTTCAGCTACTGCTGATTTTTCCGGTTGTTTTAGTCTGCAGTGTCTCTCATGTTCTTTGATTCTGGTGTGAATGCTGTGTTTTGTGCTTCCAATATATACCTGTCCACAACTGCAGGGTATCTGGTAATTTGGAACCATGGCGAAGAAGGACTGGAAGAATTTCTAAACCATCTTCACAACATCCACCCAAATAGTCAATTCACCATGGAAAAAGAAATAGAGGGCCAACTCCCATTCTTTGATGTCATGGTCATACGAAAAACTGACCTCTGATTGGGACACAAGGTCTACAGAAAACCCACCCACACAGACTGGTACCTACACAAAAACTCCAACCACCACCCATGACAGAAAAGAGGCATAATCAAAACACTGGTAGACCGTGCAAATTGGAACTGTGAAGCTCAATTTCTCAGCACCGAACTCAACCATCTGAATTGGGCCCTATAGGCGAATGGCTATTCCAAGAATGAAATCAAAAGAGCCATCAAACCAAGAAAACAACACCAAACTGAAGAGGAAAAACAGCCACCCACAAATAAAGTATTTCTGCCATACATCAAAGGGGTCACGGACTGCTTGGGGAAACTTTTGAAAAAACACAACCCACAAACAGTATTCAGACCCACCACAAAAATACAACAAATGTTACAGTCAGCAAAGGACAAAAGGAACCCCCTCACCACTGCAGGAGTATACTGCCCTCCAACTCTTTCGAATTTAAGCTCTAAGCAGCATTGATCTGGATGGTGAATTGTCTGGAATGCCACGAGTTCCAGTCCAAGACATTTTGAGAGCACCGTACTGTGGATAACTGCTCTACAATGTGTTCGCTTTAAGGAATGCATGGCTTTTGAAAATTACAACCAGCATCTTAGATAATATTCAAGAAGAGCAGAGCCCCTGTCTTAATGCAGAATTGTATTTTAACACTATAACATTAATCATTCCAGTACTGTACATTCATTTTAGAAGGCTATATAATTGGCTACATTTCTTTCAGTAGCTGTTCTTTATATTTCTCATATACTGTAACATGCTTACTCTTCTAACTACAGTTTTAATAAAAAAAATGACCTGTACAGTTGGACGGCCATATCCTCGGGATCTGTACCTGCATTTTCAGTTATTTGCTGCCTGAAAATATTAAATAACCCCCCTGCCCAAAATGCACATTTCCAAGGTGTATAATACAAGAAGTGGCCATGAGAGAGAACCAGGTAATATACTATGTACAGAGTCTGCCATATCCATGATTTTCAGCATTAATGGGTGGTGGTGGTCTTGGAACCAATCCACCACAGACCTACTATAATTGAATAATACCCTTAAACTGTACTAATGCTTCTGGATTGTGTTAAAGAAATATTGATAGGAGAACAATAGTTTTTCTTTAAATAAAGGACAGATATAAAAGTCCTTCTTCCATCCAATCTCATAGGAGATATGGTAGGTAGGTAGGTAGGTAGGTAGGTATGTAGGTAGGTAGGTAGGTAGGTAGGTAGATAGATAGATAGATAGATAGATAGATAGATAGATAGATAGATAGATAGATAGATAGATAGATAGATAGATAGATAGATAGATAGATAGATAGATAAATAAATAAATAAATAAATAAATAAATAAATAAGAAATCTATAAACAGTGATAAATAAATCTAAAGTCTTACTACTGCAATTTGAATTGAACAATAAAACAGATATTAGAAGCCTGATAGCAACTTTACCACAGAACCCTATCAATATTTGAAATTATTGGCTAGAGGTACCATCATTCCCAGCCATGGATCCATTTCTGGTTGGGATTATGAGTAATCTATTTGAAGGTACTAGATTGAGAATACCTGCCTAACACAAAAGATATACCAGCCTTTTTGACTGGTCTAGGTAAAAATCTATTTCAAAAGATTACACAGCTATGTTTTGTCATGCTCTTCTTTTAAAAGTCTGGAGGAAATTAACCCCAAATCTGAATACTTACCGGTCTACTAGCATTGTATCCAGATGCTCCTGTGCTTGTTAGAGGTGGAGATTGACCATGAACTGCAGAAAGAGCAATGTGTTATTGAATTAGAATACATTTAATGTTTAAGTTCTTTTCAATTCAGTAAGTATTTAACATGAGTATACAATACCTATATCTCTCCTTTGTGTCCCTGGACTTTTCCGAACTTTTGACACATGGACAACAACAAGAAATCGGTTTATATTGTCAGTGATTTAAATTTACAGATCGATACCTGATGTTCAGAATAAAATGTTCCAAATATCCTAAACCTGAAAGTTTATGTTGCTAAACTACATGCTTTGTCTTAAGCACTTACAACCTAGTGTGGTAGGCCCCAAATTGTAAAATGCTTTAAATTATGAATGGGCACTTTAAGTTTCATCTTCACAATACATATACAGTGGTGCCCCGCATAGCGAGGTTAATCCATTCCGGATTAACCCTCGCTATGCAGAATTGTCGCTAAACGGGTAGGGGAAACGTATTGAAACGCATTAAACTTAGTTTAATGCGTTCCAATACCTTGCTTACTTACCTGTTCAGCGAGGATTCCCCTTGCCGGCAGCCATTTTCGCGCCCTCGCTAAGCGAGGGCAGGGCACGAAAATGGCTGTCGGCAGCCATTTCCGGGCTTCCGGTGGCCATTTTGGAACCACCGATCAGCTGTTCGGCGGCTCCCAAATGGCCGCCGCAATACCC